ATGTGGCACATACACACCATGGAATACTATGCAGCCATAAAAATCGATGAGTTTGTGTCCTTTGTAGGGACATGGATGAATCTGGAAACCATCATTCTCAGCAAACTGACACAGAACAGAAAATCAAACACCGCATGTTCTCACTTATAGGTGGGTGTTGAACAATGAGATCACGTGGACACAGGGAGGCGGGCATCACACACTGGGTTCTGATGGGGGGAAATAAGGGAAGGACAGTGGGGGGTAGGAAGTTGGGGAGAGGGATAACATGGGGAGAAATGCCATATATAGGTAACGGGGGGATGGGGGCAGCAAACCACATTGCCACGTATGTACCTATACAACAATCCTGCATGTTCTGCACATGTACCCCAGAAAATAAAAGTGCAATAAAAAAGTGCAATAAAAAATATATATATAAAGAAAAAAATAGTTCAGTAATAAAGAAATGCCAAGAAATAATGAGTAATGTATCACTACCTCCTTTATATTTTTATACCTGCTATTTTAAAAATCTTATTTTCAATCATCATAATTTGTAATATTGTTAAGTAAATTATGAATAAACTTTCTCAAAAAATATTGAGGAATATTTTTTGAATATTGAAAATATTCTTTTTAAAAAATTAAGAAAACTATCATGACTAAAGATTTCTTCTGATACTGATTAAGAAGTGGAAATTTGTTTAAATTGTTGAAAAAACTATTACATCATTTGAACTCTGTGATTAAGAATATTTATTAGATTTTGGTCAAGAAAAAATCTAATAATAGAAATTTCAGAACCATTACTATACGATATGGTTTGGCTGTGTCCCCACCCAAATCTTATCTTGAATTATAGCTCCCATAATTCCCATGTGTCATGGGAGGGACCTAGTGGGAGATAATTGCATAATGGAGGATGGGATTTCCTATGCTGTTCTCTTGACAGTTTGGGTTTTATAAAGAGAAGTTCCTCTGCACACACTCTCTCTTGCCTGCTGCCATGTAAGACATCCTTTTGCTTTTCCTTCATCTTCCACCATAATTGTGAGGTCTCTCCAGCCATGTGGAAGTGTGAGTCCATTAAACTTCTTTCCTTTATAAATTAACCAGTCTTAGGTATGTCTTTACTAGCAACATGAGAATAGACTAATGCATTATACCTAACTTGTTCCCTGTGTCATAAAATAAAATCCAGCATGTTGAACAATTTTGTTCAGGCCATAGTGCAGGATTGTAATTATTTGACTTCCATGAGACATGAGAAAAGCAATTTCATTACTTTACAATAATATTTGGTAGATAACTGACACATGGTAGATTCATAATGAACAACCATTCCCTTAACTCTTAGTTCCCTGGGTGATTAATTGTGACATACAGGATGATGGCCCCCAAATAAATCTCTCTAGTCTTTTGAGCTCTACAGAGATCTATCCATTTGTTCGTTAAACCATTCCCAATCTGATTGTTTGAAAGCATCTCAACATCAAGACATCCCAACTGGAAATCTCCCCTTCAACCCTCTACCCAAGCTTTTTCCTCCACCAGCTTATGTACGCCAGAATATAAGAAATCATCCTGGAATTTTTATTCTTTCTCATCCAAAACATCAAATCCATTTTCAGATTGTTTTAGGCAGAAAATTAATTTATTATAAAGGTTTCAGGAAGATCCCATAATTTATAGGAAGACATAAGAACCAAGAACAGAGAGGAATCAGGTGAGAATTCCACCACTGAATGGTCTACTCAGAAAGCCACCATAGGAATTTGCAATCTTAGCAGAATCCTGTCGTCATCCCATGGAACAGCACCACTGCAGGTGCTGGGAAGGATCTCTTACTCCCACTCTGTTTGTGTCACATCTTCAGTTTCTGAGTGGCTGTGGAGATGAGAATGACTCTACTTTAAATGCTAATCTGCTGACTAACCCCAAGTCTGGGAATACCACCAAAATGTCTCGTTGATGTCTAGAAATGCCTGTTCATTGTTAAATTTCCTCTAAAGAAATCCGCGATGCTGCTTCAGAAATCATAGAGGTGATGCTTACAGCCACTGGAACATTTCTTCCAGAACACATATACTTTTTCCCCAAGAAAGATGCACTGGATCTAGGGGGGCTGCAGTGTGGAAATCTATCTGTCTTGCAACTGCCCAAGACAACGCTTCTGTCTATAAGTTCCCCAAATAAAATATCCTTTATTGACAAACTGAATTTCTCTGCCTCTTTCTCTGATTTCTTTGTTCCTTTGGCATCTGGGTGTTGCTTTGCATATACAGCATTTTCGTGGACCCATGTATATGCATGCATCTTGTAGACACTGGAGAGGCATGGTGCATGGAGAGGGCCAATAGCATACCTTGGGCTCTGATTTCCCCTCTCTTGATATTCCTCACCAATAGGAAGAATATTTGAATATTGGGCAATCAAACTAATACATGTCCCGTACAATCCACATACTTTACCTTCCTCTACTCACATCTAAATGTTCTTCTTTTTCTCTTTATGTAATAAATTCCATATATAACCCCAAACACACTCATCTTTTACCCAAGTGGCAACTCAGTCCTTCCAGTTATTGCTTCAGCTTGAAGTTCATGACTTCTGGGTGCTGTATGTTCCTACTCTAGTTCTCTTAAGATCCTCTCTCAATAATCAATAACTTATAGACTAAATTATACTGTCACATAACACTACAGGTTGAGCATCTGAAATCTGAAAATTTGAAACACAGAATTTCAAATCTGAAACTTTTTGAGCATCACCATGAGACTTCAAGGAAATGCTCATTGGAGTATTTGAGATTTTGAATTTTCAGATTTGGGATGCTTAATACGTAAGGACAATGTAAATACTCCAAAATCCAACAAATAAACAAACAAACCCAAAATCTGAAACACTTCTGACCCCAGGAATGTCAAATAAGGTATAGTCAACCTGTAATACACTCTATAGAAAGTAGTTAGATAAAGGGAGATTTAAAAAATTATAAAGTTATGAAAGTATCCTACACAAATTCAAAAATTAGGAACATTTAAAAATTATGTTAAATAAACAATCCCCTTTTCTATGATTGGTCATGGGGTTAGAGTTTGTCTTTTCCTTCTCACTACCTGGGCCATCTTCCTGCAGGTTTCAGGTTTTTCTATTCAGTGGGAGTGCTTCATTTCTAAGAAAACTGAGCCTTTAGAAATCCCACCTTTATTGCACTATTACATAATTCCTGTAAAATTCCTTTAACATTCATGAGTTCCAGTTATATAGCTTTCTGTATTCACTGCACAGCAGCAACCCAGGATTATTGCAACAGCAACAAACGTTCTAACACAAATAATCTAACACCCTTTTGTGCTAATTTGCACAACAACATTAAGTGCTCAAATAAATACATGGCATCTCAGCTTTTAATTCAATAGAATTATTGCACAAATCCATTGATATTATTGTGGAAGCATTTCTTCATTGGCTGATAACTCTCTAAACCAGCAGAAATCACGGTTATTACAATGGGAAGAAAATTTTTTCAGATGGGTGCTTTGGAAATACCAACTACATTTCTATCCTTGACTCTAAGACTTGTGATGCGACAATGGATTATGAAGCATTGTGGGTTGTCAGCTGGTTAAGAGCATAGACCACTTCCCTAGGATGACACCTTACCCTCCAAAGTGGTGTTTTCAACCAACACTATATTGAAATCTTCAATAGACCATTCCACCATTTTATAAGGTGAGCTGCTTCTGAGCTTTTGAGTATATGAGTACAAATCCCACAGCATCAGCCTACTCTTCCACTTTTTTCAACATAAAGGGCTTCTCTTGATTAGAAGCAAAGTTGTGTGCATACCATGATAGTAATCTCAGCTACCCCGTAGATTAAGATTCAGATGCAAGGTGGCACTTATTAGACCCAAAGCTAATCATGGTGTTTATATACATGGTTAAATGAAGTAAAACTATTCACTGTTGTTAGGTGAACTCTAAACTTTCTTGAGACCATATGCCTCAGTATAAGAACAAACTCATACACCTAGGGAAGCCAACTTGGTCTCTATTTGCACCTTGGATGACTTAGCATGAATCTATCCTTCAAGGATATGGCCTATCTAAAAACAGCCCTCCTCTCCACCCCAGTTTTTGTCTATTCTTCTGTGATAGGTTTAAAACCACAGTTTTTCTAAGGATGGGAAGGTGAGATATTAGGTGAGTTATTGTTTATTTTGATAAATTCTTATTAATTTAAACACCAAACACTGCCTATTAGCCTGGAAAACACTTTCACACTGACAATATTAATTCAATAAGATTTGTTCTGTAAATCACCTCAAGCTGTCTGAATCATGAAAGAATATAAAAAGGAAAAAAACTCACGAATTCTGAAAACATAAATAGTAGAAGAAATGTATTCCTAAAATAAGTTTAAAGTTATTATGAGGAAACTTTTCCTCAGTTTTCACACTCTATGCCACAGGCATTTTGAGGGCATAGCTTGAAGGAGATGTAATTTACCTCTTCCATCATGAAGAAATGAAATATAGTTTGTCATTACTGCTAAAGTGCTGCTCAGGGGAGGTAATGTAATAAACAAAGCTCAGCCTTTGATAGTCTAATTACTTCTCAACTTTGTGGTTACAGATGAGATTTTAAGAAGGTAAAGTAACGCACACACAAAAAGGATTTTTTTAATGATTAGCAAATTATATCTATATATCTCATTGGACTAAGTGTATTGCCAGGCATTTATTTAGGAATATATTTGACTATATTTTTAACATATGTGGCTTTCTGCAACACATTTCCACTCTATATTAAAATGTGAAAGTGGAAACACTTTTTGGAAAGATCAAGAGGTTATAGTTAATATGGAAATATATTGGTTGAAGAATCACAAACTTTTATTATATTAACTGGAGACCTTTTTCCCCTTCTAGAAGACTTTGAAATTGCCTCCTTTTTAAAAATGTTTTGAAGGCAGGAATTTGAGAACTTTAAAATCGTTCAAGCAAGACAGCAATGGTGACCAATTTCTCCCAAGCTGAGGCTGTGGAACTGTATTACGAGAATGTAAATGGATCCTGCATTGAAACTCCTTATTCGCCTGGTTCTCAAGCTATCCTCTATGCTGTCCTTGGTTTTGGGGCTGTGCTGGCAGTGTTTGGAAACTTGCTGGTCATGATTGCTATCCTTCACTTCCGACAACTGCACACACCTACCAACTTTCTGATCACCTCGCTGGCCTGTGCTGACTTATTGGTGGGAGTCACAGTAATGCCCTTCAGCACAGTGAGGTCTGTGGAGAGCTGTTGGTACTTTGGGGAGAGTTACTGTAAATTCCATACATGTTTTGATACATCCTTCTGTTTTGCTTCTTTATTTCATTTATGCTGCATCTCTGTGGATAGATACATTGCTGTTACTGATCCTCTGACCTATCCAACCAAGTTTACTGTATCAGTTTCAGGAATATGCATTATTCTTTCCTGGTTCTTTTCTGTCACATACAGCTTTTCGATCTTTTACATGGGGGCCAGCGAAGAAGGGATTGAGGAATTAGTAGTTGCTCTCACCTGTGTAGGACGCTGTCAGGCTCCACTGACTCAAAACTGGATCCTACTTTGTTTTCTTCTATTCTTTATCACCACTGTCGCCATGGTGTTTATATACAGTAAGATATTTTTGGTGGCCAAGCATCAGGCTAGGAAGATAGAAAGTACAGCCAGCCAAGCTCAGTCCTCCTCAGAGAGTTACAAGGAAAGAGTCGCAAAAAGAGAGAGAAAGGCTGCCAAAACCTTGGGTATTGCTATGGCAGCATTTCTCATCTCTTGGCTACAGTGATTCATTGACGCAGTGATTGATGCTTATATGAATTTTATAACTCCTCCTTATATTTATGAGATTTTAGTGTGGTGTGTGTATTATAATTCAGCTATGAATCCCTTGATATATGCTTTCTTTTACCCCTGGTTTTGGAAGGCAATAAAACATCATAAGTGGCAAGGTCTTAAGGAGTGATTCATTAACAACTAATTTATTTTCTGATGAAGCAGAGACAGATTAAAAAGATTACTGTAGAGACTTCAAAACTAACTTGAAATTAAGGTCAAGTACAAAAACAAACACTTGGATAGAGAGAGACAAGCGTGATTACTTGCCAAGTAAGGAGGACAATACATTCAACATTTGTTCTAAAGCATTTGTTGTCTTCATGTATTTTGACATTTTTTAGATTTAGTGATAGGTGAATAAGATTTGCTCATTCTTTTCCATTTAGTGTTCTTTCATGGTTTTCTGGTTCCGTACTTTCTTCTCTGAGATTCCTATTTATTTCTTCAAATATTTTGAAGTTTTGTAGTTTCTCCCATACTCATTCATGATCAGTATTCAGCTGTCCAAAATACACAAAGGGGAAAACAAAGCTCCTGATGTACTTGTAAGTCAGGTTCCCTGAGGACAAAAATCCTCCTTGAAGTAAGCATGTCTTTCTAAAGAAGTAGACACAGGATTATAAGCTCTTTAGTAAAAAGACTTTACAGAGAGCTGGAATGTAGAACTTTCTAGTGATAGGAGATCATCTGAAAAACTCTTGAACGCTTATATTTTCTGAACTCTGGCAGTTCTTCCTGTTCATTTTACAAAGACTGTGTTAGCAAAGAAAGTGTTTAACAATTATGTGAATACACACTACATCTTATTTTTGGAGAATATAATTTATTATTGTTAAATAAGCATGTGAACAAAAAGATGGTTTCTGTAGTTCTTTTTTTAATGTAATTTTAAATAAAATAAGAATTTTTAAAAGCCAATTAAAATGAGCAGTTTTTCACATTTGAGTTCTTACTTGGTACCAGATATTGTATTTGGCATTGAAACTGTATGAAACTGAGTAATCCAAATATAACCAAGGATTGTTTCAAAATAACAAATATCCAAATTGTTATTATACACTCTAGGAACAGCTTCAGTTTTCCCATCTGATTATACACTTCTCAATCAATATAAATTTTAATTCTTTTAAATTGAAAGTATACATTGAGTGTTGTCAGATACAGTCAAAATTTCAAAAAACAAATAATAAGATGGTTGGCGTTCTCCAATCCCTGAGTCACTGCCTGAAATCTTTGTTTAGGTAGCTGATTTTCACAGATAATTCTGTAATAGGTTTGTTTTATAAAATGAAAAGAAAAAGTAACTGAGTAAATGGAGTTACCTAAACATTACATGTCATACATTTAATAGATGAGCCAGTTTGGAAATTCTTTACACAAGATTAAGCTGTTTCATATTTGTGCATTAATACTTTTCAAAAAGATCCCACAATGTTTAGGAGGAAAAAATTAAAGGTAAGAGAGGACAAAAGGGAAATGAAAATCTTCATAGCAGGATACCTATTTGTGGTTCAGATAATAATGTCAAGGAACGGCTTGATTGACCACAATTCAGATACTCACATTTAAAGTCCCCTATTCTCCTTCTTTAAAGAGAAGCTCAAAACTTAGGAATCAGGTAACATCTTCATAGAAATTTGTGTTCCTTCCCTTAAAACTTACATTGACAAATAAAAAATAAGGAAAACAATTCTGGGGGACTTTAAAAATAGATACTATTTCATTTACTTGTACTATGAAGAGTGTAATCTTTAGATGAACTGATTACAGAAATACTGTATGATAATATTTCCAAGATCTTATCCACATCATGGTGGAGAATACACTTCCAATCTACTCTTTCTTGTTTACTTTCTTTTCCTTTTCTTGTAACACTTAAAAAGGAAGTCTTTAGATCAAAAATTTTCTTTTCCCCAAAACGAACTAGACTGTTGATGCAACACCACTTCTCTCTTCTACACATATTTATTTATACAAATAAGCTACAAACTTCTTCACCAGCTGTATATCAAGTTGCTGCAGGGCCATGGATATATTTGGAACAAGACACACTGAGGATGGAAGGAGCCTTCACTCGGCAAGACTGTCTGCAAGTAAAATCTGACTTTGGAACATACTGCTGAGCTTAGTCTGAATCCTAGAGATCTATAGTTCCAAATTGTTTGCTTCAGCCAATGGGAGGTTGTAGAACTATTGCAAAGAAGTAATTAACCCACTACTGTCCCAGGTGGTAGCTATGTAAATACTATGTCTCTTTTATATATGCACTATTATAAATAATACATGCTTATTTTTTATTAATAAAATACATATTTATTTAACTGCATTGCTGAATTTATAGTAACTTTTATCCATATTGAGATATTTTTCTCAATTATCTGGTACTAAAAGGACAACTATTACACTATGTGAAGCTTTTTGTATTTTTAAAAATATTAAAATGGAGATTTCAGACATAGACATTTATAGAGTAATTGTTGTAGTTTGCCCCTGTTAGAGCAACTTTATCAATTATTTAGTGGCAGGGCTGTGAACAGTCCATCAATAATTCATTATAATAGGCCATCACGAATACCTAGCTCTTCTCAGAGAGCTACCAGTAGAACTGGATATTACTGCAACAGAATTTCTTCATTTATTACTGATATAATTGATGTTTAACTGGATTTTCTGACTCCTCATGTGTTTGCAACCTTTTAAGATGTTGTATTTATTTTTCTTCAGCTATGATGCCCTTGATTTAAGTTTTTACTATTCATTTTTGATAACTTGCAACCTATTTAAAGGTCAGTCTTAAAGAATAACATTTTAGAATTGCATTTGAAAAAAGCAGAAATACACTAGTGATATTATTTTTAAAATCAAATTATTTTGAAGTGAGCATTAAAAGCAACAGATATGCCCTTTGACACACAAAACGTATTTTGTTGACTACACTTATCTACTAAGTCTGTTACAGTACATCAGCAATAATTTTTAGATTACTTTTTGCCTTTAGACAGATATATTCCTATACTTTATAAAGTAATTTGATGTTTACTGACTGTATTAATTTGCTATGTACTTTTTAATTGCTAGTAAGTCTTTGCCCATATTATTTCAATACCTAGAACAGTGTCTTGCACTTATTAAGCTCCTGAAGGTATTTTTAAACAAATGAACCATCAATTATTTTTTATTTCCACCCATCAAATAATGATTTATTAGTCTTTTATATGTAAAAAATAATTGGCCACTCTCTCCTTTTTCTGGCTTGCTAAAATAGAAAATGCTTAATAATCAATGTTTAGGAAAGGTCCAACTTCAGTCTATTGATAGGCTTTGTCTACCCCAATTACTAAAAGGTAATTTTTTTATTTAATAAGAAAAAGTGCTGAAACATGTAAACTTGCAACATTGAGTTTCCTTACCCTACCTGAAATGGAGATGCATGAAGCATATGATATCTGAGATTTACTGTGAGGATTGTAAATATTAAGCTTTTTGAAAACATACACCTTCTTTTTCCCGAAAAGACTCAATACAATACAGCATAAAGGCTCAGAGTGAGGTTCTAAAGCCATGTTGCCTGGGTTTGAATCTCATCTCCACCATCTGCAACCTTGGATAAGTCACTTACCCTTGGTATATCATTGTTGTTTACCTATAAAGTGGAGATGATTATGGGACTTTCTTATTGAGGTTTTATGTGTTAAATGTGTTAATGACCATTATGTAAAACAAATCTGTAGATTTTAAAGACCAAAGAACCAATAAGGAATCCACTATCATATAAAAATTGTTTCATGTTTTATAAATGTTTTCAGTAGAAAGAAAATTATAAGGATTTTTTGAAATAGTTTCAAAACATATCTTCTTAAGACTGATTTCCTGAAATCACATAATTGAGACTGTTAACCAAAAGAACAATGTTGGAAAAGTATTTTTTATTAGAAATTAGAGCTTATGGGCCGGGCGCGGTGGCTCACGCCTGTAATCCCAGTACTTTGGGAGGCCGAGGCGGGTGGATCATGAGGTCAAGAGATCGAGACCATCCTGGTCAACATGGTGAAACCCCGTCTTTATTAAAAATACAAAAAATCAGCTGGGCATGGTGGCGCATGCCTGTAATCCCAGTTACTCAGGAGGCTGAGACAGGAGAATTGCCTGAACCCAGGAGGCGGAGGTTGCGGTGAGCCGAGATCGCGCCATTGCACTCCAGCCTGGATAACAAGAGTGAAACTCCTTCTCAAAAAAAAAAAAAAAAAACAACAAAAAAAACAAAAGAAATTAGAGCTTATGAAGAGTTTCAGAGTTCTGTTGAAAGAGTCACTTAACCGATCTGAACTCTTGACAGATGCTCAAAATTAAATTTTTCACAGAGAAGAAATTACTCTAAATTTCCTAAGAGTTAGAGCTAGAAAATCCAAATAAACAGTTTAAAGATTACGTACACCTCCACAAATAAAAGGATATTTTCATAAGCAGCTTGCATTGCCTTCCTATTTTGTGAGTTTTCAGAACTGGCACTTTTATTTTCTTATTGTTAATATTAACTATAGGAATTACTAATGAAGGAAAAAGCTCCAGAGAGGTTGTATGATTGTATGCTCTAAATGCTGGAGCTGTGGTATTTAGATCCACCATCCATGTCTGTTACCAAAGACAATACTTTGCAAATACTATCATTGTGAATCAGTTGGAAAACGCAACATTTCTTGGAAACGAAAAATTATAGACTATCTTTCTGGGTGTAACATAAGAACTGACATTTAAATTTTATTCTGATTTTATTCTGTACACACGCGTGCACACACACACACACACACACACACACACGTACATCTAATGCCAAAGGGCAAGTTTCATTATTTCCCAAGGGCAATACTAAGCTAAGCATCATAGATCACTTCAAATATAATAATATGTAAGATTCCTGTCATAATTCATTCTGGTTAAATTTATAAACCAGGCAAATTTCCCTGAGGAGTCCCTCATCTGCCCTGTCTCTACTTTCTCCCCTCACCTAGGAACACCCTGACATTTCAGGCCGTGTTCAACCTGGTTGTGCTGTGTCCTTCCCTACCAGTAATATGAGCTGTGAGACAATTGTGAAACAATACTTGCCAAATGAATTAAAGTCTTCATACGGGAGCATTAACAATAAAACATACCATTCTCAGAGGGGTTCCCT